CCACCAAAGCTCGAGCTTACGATGCTGCAGTGCGATTCATCTTGCTATACGACTCAGAAAACCTTGCCACTGCGCACCAAGGGCGTCAAAAGTCTTCCAGTGTTTGACCATAAATGACGGGAGCATTGCCAGAATCTGGTGGGAACATCGGATAAGCAATGCTGAAACACGTCGAATGGTATTCGGAAGAAATGAGTTACCCTCGATAGATGAACTGATCACACTCCACAGGTTACACTGGCTTGGTCACGTGCTGCGTATGCCAGTCGATCGAATTCCTTGAAGGGTTTTCCCGCACAACCACGTGAACGGTGAAAGAGAGCCAGAGGCGGTCAAACAATGACTCGGTAGCTAAGTATAAAAGCCANGCGATTATGGAAGACTCACTAGGAGCCTCTAATGCTTGTGGGGTTGAATTGCTCTGAGGGCGTTCGCTCACGGATATCGAGTACGCAGACGACATAGCTCTCCTTCGATCTTACCCCGTGGTAATGCGAACAATATTAAATAATCTAGATAATTCTGCCTCACGATTCGGCATGCGCTTCACACCTGCACAGGATAAAGTGCTACTTCAAGACTAGGTGCGCCCGAACCCTAATATCATGCTTGTGGATGAGCCGATAGAGGCAGTAGGCAAACCGGTTTACCTGTATAGCTGAATCAGTCTCGGTGCTCTCGCGAAGTATGACATTTGCATCCGGATTGGAAAGACCAGAGCAACTTTTGTGGACCTGCATCAACTGTGGTGTGACATCAGCTTGTCCACCAAAGCTCGAGCTTACGATGCTGCAGTGCGATTCATCTTGCTATACGACTCAGAAAACCTTGCCACTGCGCACCAAGGGCGTCAAAAGTCTTCCAGTGTTTGACCATAAATGACGGGAGCATTGCCAGAATCTGGTGGGAACATCGGATAAGCAATGCTGAAACACGTCGAATGGTATTCGGAAGAAATGAGTTACCCTCGATAGATGAACTGATCACACTCCACAGGTTACACTGGCTTGGTCACGTGCTGCGTATGCCAGTCGATCGAATTCCTTGAAGGGTTTTCCCGCACAACCACGTGAACGGTGAAAGAGAGCCAGAGGCGGTCAAACAATGACTCGGTAGCTAAGTATAAAAGCCACTACCAGCAAACTTAGCTGCGATAGTCATTGCCGTCTTGCAGGATGAGGACCCCAAGACGGGCCACACCAATGATTAGAGACATTGTCAGACATGGTCCAGTCGAGCCCACAATTGCGCTCTTGCATC